ATTTCAGACTTGAACTTCTGTATATGATTTCTCTATTGCTTACTCAAATACAACATGTAAGGTTTTGGGGACTCCACTGGTGAACCTACAGAGGCCGGTCTGTGTACTGATGTCTTATACTTGTACCACTGGGTTAAGGCACGTAGTGGAAACAGCCCGGTGTGTGTGTGGGGTCACTCGCTTGGTAGTGGGTGTGTATAATCTGCTTTTTTATGACTTTTGCATTTGACTTTTGCTATGTTTACTTCAAATGTATTAGAAACAATAAACTATCAATTTAATTGTAAGAAAAATGCTACAGTATGCACTATGTAACTGCACTATGTTTCTTTTTCAATAGTGTTGCATCTACCACTGCAGTTAAATTACTAGTACAAGGTAAGAATTTGACTGATTTAAAAACAAGCCTGCTTTTGTTTAGTGGTTAGCCTGCTTAGTGGTTCTTGTCTCACTCCTTACTGTTCATTTTAGGAGCTGTCATTGTATAGTATAAGCTTTAATATTTCTTTAAATACATTTCTTGACTGTAAAGGGAGAATGCTGTGGTTTATTCTGTCGTGTATTCTGCACATTTCTTGACAGGAAAACAGTTTGATGGAATAATACTCGAGGGTGCATTCCTAAATGCGAGGATGGAAACTAATAAACTTACTAAACACCCTTTTACCTGGGTAAGTAACGTTCAGGATCTCTGAAATCATGTCAAAACAACTGGTTCTGACAAATGAGTTTTAGGTATTTTTGTTTTAGATTTTTATTAGGTATAGATCATTTTTTGAAACTTCCTTTCAAACATCAAAACATTATAATTGGGATTTTTAAGTGAAATTTACTTCAGGTCTGTACAATTTAATTCTGTATAATTTGAAGTTGATTATACTTTACATGGACAAACCACGCAATATCAATAATATGGGTCATTAATCATAGTTTGGTACATGTAAGTCTTATTTGTATCTCTCTTTTTCTCTCCTTTTCTCCAGTTTTATTGGAAGTTCCCATACATTCAGTACTTCTTGTTCAATCCACTGAAAAACAAAGATTTGAACCTTCCAACTGATGAGAAGTATGTGACATTGCTTTTTATATATTCAAACATAAAGTTAATATAAAATATAATGTAATTAATATATTAAACAATATGAGTAGAAATATGATTGTGATAGTAGGCTAGTGTTATGTTAAATTTGTAAATATATTGTAAACTTTTCATCTGTTGCTATTTTGTTTTGATAGTTTGCAAAAAATTCAAACTCCCCTCATGATTCTCCACGCTGAAGATGACCATTTAGTGCCCTTTGCCTCAGCTCAAGAGGTTTGTTGTATGAAACGTAATTTACCGTATGAAAAATAATTTAGAAATATATATTTTTATACTTTACATTAAAAAATTTATTTTTTTTTGGCTCAGATCTACAGAATTGCAAAAAAGGCCCAAAACTCAGATGAGCATGTCAAGCTAGTACGATTTGATGGAGCGCTTGGATACCTTCATAATGGGCTGTATAAAGACCCTGGTTTGCCAAATATCATAAGGTGATGTCACTCTCTGAAAATGTTTTATTCATCT